AGCAAGCTTGAAGACAAAGCAGTACATTTCATGTGGTCAGAGAAGCAAAAAGAAAAAAGACTGAAAAATGGTGAAGATAACTTCAGGGACTTAAGAGACAACATCAAGTGGACCAATATTCGCATTATAGCAATCCCTGAAGGGAAAGAAAGAGGGAAAGAGAAGAAAACACGTCTATCAAAGCACCACGATGTACACTTTAAATATCTTACAATTTTATGTCAATTATACCTCAATGAAGCCGAAATTTTAAAAATAAATAATTATTATTCCAATTTAAAACATTCTACTCATCAGTGACAAAGCCTATGGCAGTGTTTTCAGCAAGAGATTATTTTCCCAGACACTGCAAGTTTGGTCCCAAATAGTTTTTAAACATTCACTTAAATGAAGTAGAAATTAAACTTGAAAAAACAGACTGGGGTAATTATTGAAAAACCGGCAGAAACTCTTTGAAACTTTGGATTTCAGAGACTCAACATTAAACAAGAGTTTTAAACCTGAGCTCATTTACAGTATTTTAGCTTTGAAAACAAAATCATAGCCTTGAAAACTTTTCTATAAAAGAATCAAATTAAAACTGGGAATAAAAATTAAGCTGACTTCAAGGGGAAGTCTATGACTCAGTCCCTCTGGGTCTTCAGCTTAAAATTCTTCAGAAAAGTGCCCAAAAGAATGAGAGCTTAAAACCCTCAAAATTGTGAGCAAAAAAGTAGAGAAAGATGAAATAGCTTATTCTTTGTTTGACATTCAAAAACACTGAAATAAAAACAAACTAAAAATTTTGTAAACCTCAATTTTGGTGAGTATGATGGCAAAGATGTCCTGCTGTACCAGGCCAGCAGTGTAGCACAGCTGCTAGCATCTAGGCCCCAGTGTCATCAATGCTGAGCCACTGACATAGTGTCTTAACTAAAACAAAACTCAACTTGGCGTGGTTGGGCATTGTTCTGGTTGCAAAGCTTCTGAGTTCTCACAGATACTCCCTGAGATTTTGAGCTGCCTAATATCTCTTTTTTAAATTTTTTATTTTTTGGTGAGGAATATTGGCCCTGAGCTAACATCTGTTGCCAATCTTCCTCTTTTTTTTCTCTCCCCAAAGCCCCAGTACATGGTTGTATATCCCAGTTGTAAGTCATTCCAGTCCTTCTGTGTGGGATGCCACCACAGCATGGCTTGATGAGCAGTATGTAGGTCCACACCCAGGATCTGAACCGGCAAACCCTGGACTGCCAAAGCAGAGCATGCAAACTTAACCACTCAGCCATGGGGCAAACCCCCCTAATATCCTTTAATAAATACTTTTCCTGCTTAAACAAATTAATCAAGCAAACAACCAACATTAAGTCAATCAACAAACCAACTTGCCCTCCAACCAGGATTATAAACAATGATTAAGAAGGGAGAGAGGGAAGAAGAGTTACCTCTTAACTATAAAAGTAGGGTAAGGTAATGTGGGCTTTCAAACATTTTGACCAATTGTTTGATATTGGTTGTATTTTTATATGGTTAAGTGCAAAGTCTTTTTATTTCATTTATTTTCAACTTTTTACAATCCAAATGCTTATTTTAACTTAGTATTATGTTCAACATTTATTTCAGCATAGAATCACCCTCTGTGGCATAAGCATAATACTAATTTTCATTTTCTAGGAATTGTATGGTGTATTTAAAAGTTTGCATAACAAGATTAGTTTACCAAGTATTAAATTAAATCTTCATTTACATTCTTCTATAAAGCTTTGGCAAGGACTATGTTAAAAATAATTTCAATTGGATTCAATAAGCTATTTTTCAGTAAATCACTATTGTACCTTACTTTATATAATAAATACACTAAATCAAATTTTGATTTAAAGGCATAAGAGAATCAGCTAATTTAAAGAAACTTCTATTTTTTAAAATTTGGGAATCTTTCTGTAAAATAAAAAATAATTTCCCTTTTGCTTTAATTTATTTATTGTTATAAGGTTGAATTTTTTAGAATATTGAATTTTCTCTACATGACATAGAGCTCTACAACTGGGCTAAAGCACCTTTGTAATAAAAGCACAGTTGTAGCAAGCAGAAACCTTCCTATTATGTTATGCAGAAAGTGATTTAATACAAGAAATTAGGTGCTTATTAAATCATTGAAAGATTGGAGAAGTAAACTTTAAGCTTGGCCTACAGGTATTTTCAGAGGAAGGCCACCAAACAGGCACACCCAGGGAGCAGACACATTTGCTACTGTTAGAAACAGAGAATCAGAAAACTACTGCCAATCAATTGCTGAACTGGAGAGCATATTGTTGTAAGATCAGGAATCTACTACAACTGCCCCTTGACGTACAAAAAGCTTGTGACTGGACACTGGAATGTTGCTTTCAAAACAAAATGAAGTCTCCATTGCAATAACACTAGAAAGCAACAGAAATATGGCTTTCATCCCATTTTGAAAATCATTTGCCAGGCTTTTTGAAGCCATGAGCCACTATGTAAAAGAGGTCACCATGCTGTGAGGAAGCCCAAGCTTCCTGAAGAGGCCCCCATTGACAGTCCAGATTGAGCCCAGCCTCTGTGTCATGCTAGCCCAGGCCTGTGAGTAAAGAGGCCTCCAAAGGATTCCAAGCCTCCAGCCATGCAAGAATTTCCAACCAATGTCCCAGACATCGTGGATACAATATCCTCACCTTGCCTCAGCCTAAGTTCTGGCCCAATGAATTTGTGAGCATGATCAAATGATTGTTAGTTTAACATCATTAACATTTGGAGTGTTTTTTTATGCAACAAGCTAACCAAAGCACATAATTTCATGAGTATTTTATAAGTGTCAGCCAGCATTTCAGAAACATTTTTAAAGGCTATAATACTCTATTATATGATATATACCGCAATTTACCTAAAACTTTATGCTCAATTGTAAAGGATAGCTGGTTTCCAATTTTTATAACTAAAACTACAGTGAATAGTTTTATCAATAGAGGTTTTGGTTTTTCTTTTGTATTTAGCATTATTTCTCTGTCATAAATTTCCAGAATGACTATGTCTGGGCCTTGACCAAATTTCTTTCTAAATGTTTTGTATCGATTCATTTCTATCTTGAATATTTAGCACAGTAAAAAAAAAGTTTTTTAAAAAGCAAATTCACTTTCATATATTTAAAAAATTTAATTACAAAAATAAATCCTTTAAGTTAACCAGCCCTATTGAAAACAGAAGAATATGGCCAAAAACTCCAGGTTGCTCATGTAGGATAACATCAGCCAGACCTCATGAGTAAAACATGAGAAGCTGGGGAAAATTGGCTCCTGGAGCAGCTAGGGGGTATAGGGGTGATGGGGGGGTGAAGACCAGCATCCAGCATGCTGAGTAATCTAATAACTGATACTGCCCTGTTATAAGCTGCAATGAAACAGTATTCACATGAAACAGCCATCAAAAGATGGTAATAGCCAGGTGAGGGCTTTGGCTTAGCAAGTCCAAAGAGTCCTGGCTAAGGGAACAAATGTTACTCTTCTCAGGTTCTGGACCTAACTAAGAGGGTGTGAAGAGGGCTGGAATCCACCCCACATTCCTCTGGACCAGCAGTGAGCCCTAGAACAAGGCAACACATCTGTGGAAGGGGCAACTTTTCCTAAATGATGTACCCAGATGGGGGTTATTTTTGCAATTTGTACCCCCAAAGTCATTGCCATTTTCTTATTCACGCTAAGTCCTTGTTAGTGCCAGCTGTTGCCATCCAATTTATAAGGCTATTTATAAGTGAGAAAATCTAGATTAGAATACTGCCTCCATGAATGCTACTTATGTAATATTAGACAATTTTCTAAACCCTTTTTTCTGAGCTGCAGTTTCCTCATTTGCAAAATCAGGATAATAAAGCACCTACCTTGCAGGGTTGTTGTGAAGATTAAATGAGTCATGTGTAAAGTGCCTGGCATTTAATATTCAATACATGTTAACTCCAGTTTTTTAAAAATAGTAAAACACACTAGTGCATTCAAATGGTGAAACCTGATTCTCATCCTTGCACTAGCCGCAAGGGAATACAGGAAATGTACAATTTTAAACTTCAAACTTTACAATACAGAAAGGCTGTAACGGAGTAGATACTGACTGCCAGTTCCCCTTGTCCAACATGGATATTAAACATGATTCTTCTCCATTTAATTCTATTGTCCTTTGAATGACCAAAGAAGCACACTTTAAAATGCATTCTGAACATTGCAGAACTATGAGATAATGTTTCAAATACTATTTGTTAGCATTAAGAAAAAGAAGACATGTTTTCCATGCAATTATTTCCAAGCTTTTAAGTTACATCAAACCAGTAAACTCACAAGCTCTAAATAAACAAGTCGGTGTTGTCTTAGACATGAGCAGTTTTAATACTGTGGAACAAGAATGACAATCATAATTTTTGTTCAGAGTTTACCACATCCCAGAAAGTGTTCTGGCCTGTGACATGTATTGTCAGAAAAACCTCCATGAGGTAGACAATCAGATTCACAGTTTACAGAAGAGGAAACTAAAGCTTGAAGACTTCAGTAATTTGTACAACTGGTAAATGGTGGAACTGGCTCTAGGGTCAGTATCCTCTAGCACCGTGCTCAGCTGCACAGTGGGATGCTTCCATTCTGTATTTTAAGCTCCAAGCACTGGAAGTACTTCCAAAACTTATGTAAATAGGGGTATAGTTAAATTATGCAAAAGAAAGTCCAAAACTATAACCTATTTTTTAGTGCCATTAGATAGTAGAATACATAATAGGGACATAGAATAAATTTTAACCTATGTTAACTAGTCAAATTAAAAAATGAATCATATTTAATAAATATGAAATTTTTGGCTAACTACTGAAATTGTGACTAACAAAGTAGTAAGGACTTAGCCATCTTAATACGCTTTGAAAGAGAAAGGCATTCTCACTCTTCTACATTTATTAATGTACACACTTGGATTCCTTTATATTAAGACTGAATTATGATATTTATGCTGCCTTCTTCCTCTTGGTACAGATCATGTTAATGGACACTGCACAAGTCCAACTTCTCAGAGTTGCAGTTCTGGAAAACGTCTTTCTAGTGCTGATGTTTCAAAAGTAAATCGCTGGGGTCCTGGAAGACCACCATTTCGAAAAGCACAGTCAGCTGCTTGCATGGAGATTTCTTTACCAGTTACAACAGAAGGTAGGTTAAACATACAAATTTCTGTGGATACAATTAAAATTTGATATACAATGGCAATAGGAGCTGGAGGATAAGGGATGGAGGTCCCTTATCTGTAAAAGATATGAAAAACTACAGTCAACCTTAGACAATTAGCAACTGAGAGCTTGGTCAGGCTGTGGCCATGACTCCAAATCCATTCCTCATCCACTACACTTTCCTCATCTCTAAAATCAGAATGGCTCTGCTCATTGGTACAAAGGGAGACCTATGCCTTAATCTGTTCTCTGCACTCCCAGTAATAATTGAATGTTTCTTTCCATCTCAATGGTAAACCTCTTAGTGTCTCTATCTGTAGATAGTTATTTAATGTCTTGCAACCTTAATTTCCTCAACTGTCAAGTGAATGTGACCCAAAAAAGGCAAGATATTAAATTCTAAAGTTTGCAATCTTCATTTTCATCTGTTTTTAAAAGGAAGAATTATTTATTTATTTATGGAATGAATGCGAGGGCAGGGAGTAAAGTACAAGAGCCAGAAGGCCAGAAATTTTTAGAAAGGGGAAAAAGAGAATCTTGTAACTGCTGCTACTGTCTTGCTGATAAAGAAATTTGGGGAAAGTGATAGAGAAAAATAATCTTAGGAAGATTTCCTATGGTAATTCTATGCTATAAAGCAATTCTTCATTTACTACCCCTCAAAAAATTTGATAGTAATGGACCATATTATTCTTCAAAAATTTTTTAAATGAATTTTTTAGTTTTTGTTTCTTTAATATTATGCCTTACTAAGTCTGGTCCATGGACATGTAGATAATGATATTCTCTCTCACGCAAGTGTCTATAAGTAGCAACCTTGAATGTTGATGAACCGTGAATGGAAAAATTTTAAAAACATATTATCTAGGAATGTTATAATAGAAGCAAAGTGTAAAAGTTATAAAAGAAAGCACTCAATCAATGGACTGAGAGCTGGGAATTTTGAGTTTTAGACCTTTCTGCCTCTGGACTCTGGGACAATTACTTAACTTCGATGTCTCTGTCCCTAAATTTGTAAAACATATAGATTATACCGAAGCTCCCTCTGATCTGTAAATTCTATTACAAACAATTATTTTTATAAACTTGCTGAGAGATAGAAGGGGGAAAATTAGGAATACTATATTTTGTTTTCTGGAAAAAGAATAATCTGAGGACCTTATAGGTTTTTAAATAAAATGAATCACACTTGTATCTATCAAGATAGAAAGGAGAGTGAAGGCAGTAGAAAGAAGAATATGAGGAACTTGTACTCTGGAGTGATTATAAGAACAATACAGCCTTCCTACTATCATTTAACGAGATGGTGAGTTTATGCTTGCTGCAGCGTGCACCACTGTGTTGTGTTGATAAGCAAGAGAACCTGAAACCATCTTGTTTCCTTTAAGTGGGCAGAAGCCCTCTCAGAAAGATTACCACTACAATGGGGTGGCACTGTCTACAGCTCCTCATTTGGCCTTAGACAAAGTTAGGACTAAATTTGGATTCAAGGTTGGCAGCTTGAAGCCAGTTCAGGGAGATAACATTTGTTCTTGAGCCTTGGTAAATAGTTCAGTTTTTACAATTGTAATTACTCCAGATATAGCAAACCAAAATTGTGTTAGTTGGGTGAATGTATTCACCACAGAACATTTGTGACCCTTCAGGTAAAGTAGCCACAATGTTGTAAGAGGATATTGCCAAGAAATCGTTAGGAATACTTCCAAAAATTAAGAAATAGGAGGGAAGCATAATTGAAATGGTACCAGAAATTCTTGTAACCTTGACTATTTAGACTAAATATTTTTTTTACCGAGTAGAGAATTTCAACTAACTTGTGAGGTAATGTAGAGAGAAAAACATGGTAAACTTAAACTCCAGAGACTCAAGTTCTAATCCCAGCTCTGCCTAAGTTTATGATTTACACTGCTGGACTTCAGTCTCTTCATCTTCAAAATAAACTGATGAACTGGATAAGCTGCCTTCCAGATCAGTTAACAAAGAATCAAATTCTACTTCCCCCTCAGTCATACTAAGTCTGACTTGTTCTAGAAACACACTAGCAGTTAATTTTTGTTTTTCCATTTCCATAGAAAGCAGAGAAAATTCCTATAATCGTTCTAGAAGCTCTAGCATCTCCAGTATTGACAAAGATTCTAAAGAAGCAATTACAGCACTATACTTCATGGAGTCCTTTGCTCGGAAAAATGACTCTACCGTCTCCCCTTGTTTGTTTGTTGGAACTAGTCTGGGCATGGTGTTAATCATCTCCCTGAACCTACCTTCAGCAGACGAACAAAGATTTACAGAGCCAGTCATGGTATTGCCAAGCGGTAAGAGTTTTTATTTATTCCTTCATTGCTACTTTTTCAAATTTAGATATAAGATATTGTAAAACATTGATTTGCTCAAATCTGGAGCAAAGATTATAAATATTTTGTGTGATAGGAATTATTTGATAAATAAGGAGAATTTCATAAATCATATACTATCCCAACATTTGTCATATTGCAACTTACCTTTCCCTCAGGATAAAACAGTAAAACTATTTCTAAGGTAGTAAACTGTGGAACTGCCAACCTAAACAATGCCTTGGGAAGTAAGTTTCTGAAAAGCACTGAGGAAAACCTTAACGCAAAAGTTAAAATTTTATTTTTAATGAATTGAAGCGTTTCTCCAAAGTTCCATGCCAGATCAGAGTCTATGAGTGGTTTTACATCATCCTTGAAGAATTCGGAACGATTGAGCTAGAAGTGGTCTGACTTGAGGTAGCTTTCTAAAGTCGTTGATGATCTTCTCATCTTGTTTCAAGGCATGCCACAGAATATCTTTCCTTTTATCCTAGTTCCTAGAGAATTTGACCTAAGTCATGCGTATTATTGCTAAAGCATATGTTGTATTCTCTTCCTTCTTGAATTATCTTTTTTTTCCTTTTGAAGAAGGGATGAATGTGATTCCTCCTGTTATTCCTTTGAATATTTTAAAATTTGTTCTTCTAACTTTTTCTGTCTCTCTCTTTCTTATATATAGTTAGAAATGTTTTTCAGATAGTTTTTAAGTAAAAGAAAAAAAAGAACTTCATTAGTATATAGGATAAAGGATTTTATTTTAAAAGAATACATATATATGGCCTGGTAAGTTAGAGTTGTGTTTTCTTTGTTAATTGGTATGCTAAATTCATACAGATGGATTGTTACTTATTTTAGGTGGAATAGTCAGCTCTCTACTAGTGTGGCAAATTCAGATAAGTGTATTGTATTTTGTGTGTGTGTGTGTGTGTGTGTGTGGCTTAAACAACAGGAGTTTATTTTCTCACACTGCTGGAGGCTAGAGGTCCAAGAGTAAGGTTGGGCAGGTCTGGTTTCTTCTGAGGCCTCTCTACTTGGCTTGCAGATGGCCGCCCTCTGGCCATGTTCTCACATGACAGCCCCTCTGTATGCATGTACTTCTGCTGTCTCCCTCTATGTCATAACCTCCTCTTCTTAGCAAGACACCAGTCAGTTTGGATTAGGGCCCACCCTAACAGCCTCATTTTAATTTAATCACCTCTTTAAAGGCTCTGTCTCAAAGGCGGTCACATTCTGAGGTACTACAGTTTAGGCCTTCAACATATATAAGAACTTGTGGGGAGAGACACACAATTTTAGCAAATGTATCACACTGGTACAAGATGTCAGTAATAGAGGAAAGGACAGGGAGCTTTTGGGAACTCTCTGCACTATCTGCTCAATTTTCTGTAAACCTAAAACTACTCTAAAAAAATAAAGTTTACTGATTAAAAAAAAAAAGAGGTACCTATAAAGGAGAAAACTATGAGGTTGGGTTCAGATCTGTTTTATATGTAACCATGGAAAGACGGAATGCCTAACTGGAAGCCATAATTTATGGCAGTAAAAAGGAAAAAGGAGGGTGCAGTTTCATAAGAAAAGATAGGGGTGACAGAAAGCCAATTCAAATTTAAAGTAGAAAACTCAACCCTTCTTCCTTCGCAGCTCACTTCTTGACTCCCACTCTTCACTCTCTTTCCAGTATCTACTCTCCATCCTCTCCCTGCTCCACTAGCCCTTACCCCATTGGGACTGCTCCGGATTGTGGGAGCCATTAAAAAAGGTTTGGAATTGGAGGTGTTTCCCTCTTCCATTGGCAGTGCTGAAGTGGGTTACATGCTCTCAGGCTTGAATGCATTTTTTTTTCCTGCCAAACATTGGTGAATAACCTTTTATCAGTTGGCCTCAGAAAATGCATCTGAGTCTAGCAATTTCCTTAAAGTTGAATAAAATCCATTTTGAAATTTATTCATCCATTCATTCAACAAACATTTACCAAGCCCATACTACTGAATTAAACACTGGGGATACAATGGTGGTCAGGACACACAGTGGTTTTTGTTCTCAGATATTTGTAGAGAAGAACAAAAGTAAACAGATAATTACAATTATAATTTGTAATTGTAATACAGTTTACAAAGATAATTTACAAACTCTTTACAGAGAAGTAAAGAGTACTGTGGCAGCATGGGAGGGGGATCAGGGAAGACCCCACTAACAAAGCAGATATCTGAAGTGGGAGATGGACAGGTTTGGGAGGGAGATGTGCACAGCACTGATGTTTAAGACTAATTAAGGACAGCATGATAAAACCTAGAGGTAAAAAGAACGTGGCATAGCTAAAGACTAGAGATAGAATGGTGCTAGATGAGGCTAGAAAAGTAGTCAGGGGAAGATTAGAGGATCATATAAACTATGTTAAGGAATTGGAAAAGACTTTATAGCTCAGTGGATTTTTTTTTTTCAGCACAAAAATTACGACATGATATGCTTTTTGTCTCTCAAGTGCTGGTTCTTAAAAATTTCATGTTTGTAAAAAATCAAAACACAGAGGAAAAAAATGAAAATTCTGCCACTAGCAAAGTTACCCCCTTCTCTGTCCCCTCTCCGCCTCCACATTTTCACCCCTTGGAATTTTACTCTCCAGCAATAATTCTGTGAGACATTTGCTGAGACTTATTTTTTTTAAGCTACTTTATTGAGGTATGATTGACATACAAAAAGCTGTATCTATTCGAGGCAAATGACTTGAGTTTGGAGATAATGTATACATCCATGAAATCATGACCACAATCTATGCCATAAATACATCCATCACCTCCAAAAATTTCCCACCCCTTTGTTTTTCAGAGACTCATTTTAAATTGTATTTTATTTCTACTTAATGCTTTGTGCTGCCAGCTAAAAATTATTCTGTAATTATCAATTCTGCCACATTAAGTGAGTAGCTCTGTTTTGTCAAAAAATTAGATGTCTTATGATCAAGATTTAAACTCATCATTAAACTAAGATTCCTCAAAATAAATTCATTCTCTTTACTCTCAAACCAGTTCTTCTTGCCACTCTCCCCATTTCTATTTTTAGTGCCATGAGACTACCTAAATGACTTCTATCACTTCAGTTTCTTCTTTTCTGATACCATTTACTCACTGCCTCTGCACTGGTCTTACTCTGGTATTGTTTTCATCACCTAATTTCCATGCCCCATGTTCTCTGATGTCTTTCACTCACCCATAGAAGCAGTTTCAAGCTCTATGTCTCAGAAATCAATGATCTCTATAAGCTCAGCCCTGTTCTACCTCTCTAATCTTATTTCCTGCTACTTCCTAGCACCAGGTCCCTGGTCCAGCCAGTCTTATTTCCTCACTTCCTTTTTCTCTCTTTACCACCTGTCAATCATCTATCATTGGTAAATGTCATACGAACTTTCATGTTTTTTGTCAAAATTTCAGAAAACCTGTATCAAGTTTCTTGTGTGACCTGTAAGATTTGGAGGAATTTTCTACAGACTAGCTTTTGGCTCCATGCATTTCAAATTTCAAATCGTTCGTTCTATATTATCTACATATTTCTAATGTTGACATAATATGCTTTTGTAATATGACCTCCAGCCCTAGGCTTTCATGTCAAAATGATACTGAGTTGCATCAGAGTAGCAGGACTTTTCCAGGGAACCATTCCTGTACCTGGAAGGCTAGCAATAACCTAGACATGGTAGTGTCTGTGAACCACCTAAATATATCTCACTAAACCCAAACTAATGTACTCCATCTCAATTTCTTCTTGTCTAAATTCCTGAGATGCTTGTCCACTACAGTGTCACCTAACTGGAGGAAAGTTAGAGTGGAAAGAGAAGGAAATTTTAACTTGATTGTGTTAAAATTTTTAGTTTCACAGATTTAATAAAAACACATGAACATGTGAACACATCATTAGGGTCCTTTCTGGGCCTTGGAACCAGTGCTAGTGAAAGGCCCTGAAGTTTAAGCTTCAATGGCTTCATGAGAAATCTGGCTCTGCCTTCAACAGTGTCTGCCAGACCTTAAAGGACTGAGTGTAAGATAGGAACAGGGCAAGCACAGATTAATAAATCCAGCCAAAGCCAAGTAGAAGTCATCATCCAAACAGCTTATACTAATGAAACCTTGGGAACTAGGGAATTGGAAAAGCTGTCATCGCTAAATTAATTCCATTAAATGTGATTAATACTGTCAACCATTAGCATACCAACAAGGTGCCCTATATCTAATCCTAGATAAAGAACAAGTACAATTGCTTACAAGGACTCAGCCCAAATCACTCTAGACCTGGGCCTTGCATTTTGAGGTGTTGGAGGTAGAGGTGATGTGTGATGCCTCACTTAAAGAAAGGCAGATAAAGAAAAGTTAAAAGTAAGGATTCGTGTAAATGGACTTACCTCATATTTTCTCTATAGCTTTTGCTCCTTTGTATACTAAAAATATGATTTTCATTTACTAATTGTTTTTTATTAAATAGTATGTAAGCTTAGGTATATTTTTGTGTTTTCATATGTATATTTACGACATTAAGCCTATGCAAAAGTATACCAGAGATGATCTTCTCTCCTTTTCTTTACTATTTCTTTTTCTTCCAGTATTTTTGTGTTGTCTTTTGCGTGTTGACAGGAATATCTCCTAGACCTACCTTCCTCTAGACTTTTCCCAGCCCACTCCCTAGGTCAAACTTATTTGCCAGCATTTAATTCCTTTAAAGTCCAGCTCTCTGATGAAGAACTAGTAAGTTAATTTATGCAAATGTAAAAGTGGGTTAATGTGCTATGTCACAGATATAATATGAAACTAGTTAACAGGCTTTGTCATTTAGTTAAAATGAGAAGGATTCGATTTTTAAGCTTAAATCTAAACCTTGATGAGAAACTTCATTATATTAAAGTATTTAGTTAGGGCCTTTCAGTATAAAATGTGTATATTTCAAACATATTTGTGAAATTTATGTATTATATCTCTCACAAATTACAATAAAAA